GAGTTTACTTTCCGCGCGAGTTCGGGAGTGGCGCACCTCCCAATCGCGCATCTCGACATTGCCCGCCCCTGGACCCCCTTATCTCATACCTCATTAGTCGCTTTCCCCCATGCCAGGTCAAGCTCGCCCCCCGCGCGAGTTCAGACGAGGCGCGCCCCCCGCTCGCACATCTCGGCGTCGCCCGTCCCCAGGCCCCCGACCTCCCGCGCTCGCGCCCTCCAAGTCGACTTTGCCTTCCGTGCGAGTTCAGACGAGGCGCGCCTCCCACTCGCGCATCTCGGCGTCGCTCGTCTCCAGGCCCGCGCCCCCCTCCGCGTTCCCTGATGACAGGTCGAATGTTTGTTCCTCGCGTGGCCTGGGGCGGCGCGCGCGCCACGCTGGCGCATCTCGGCGTCGCCCGCGCCCAGGCCCATAACCGCCCCACTCGCGTTCCCCCGCGCCAGGTGGAGTTCACTTCCCGCGCGACTTCAGACGAGGCGCACCCCCCGCCGGCGCATATCGGCACCATCCGTCCATGGACCCGCAACCTCCCCACCGGCGTTCCCCAAGTCGAGTTTATTTTCCCTGCGAGTTCAGACGGGGCACGCCACCCGCTGACGCATCTCGGCCTCGTCCGCCCCCAGACCCCCAACCTCGCCGCTCAGGTTCCCGCGCGTGAGGTCGAGGCTACTTTCCGCGCGAGTTCAGACCGGGCGCTGTTCCCGCTTGCGCACTTCGGCATTCTCCGTCTCCAGACCCGCCCCCCCCCTCGCGCCCCCCTCCGCCAGGTCGAGTTCATCCCCCGCGCGGCCTCGGACGGCGCGCGCACCCCGCCGGCGCATCTCGGCATTGCCCGTGCCCAGACACACAACCACCCCGCTCGCGTTCCCCCGCGCCAGGTGGAGTTCACTTTCCGCGCGACTTCAGACGAGGCGCGCCCCCCGCCAGCGCATCTCGGCACCATCCGTCCACAGACGCCCAACCTCCCCGCCGGCGTTCCCCAAGTCGGGTTTACTGTCCATGCGAGTTCAGACGGGGCGCACCACCCGCTTGCGCATCTCGGCATCGTCCGCCCCCAGACCCCCAACCTCGCCGCTCAGGTTCCCACGCGTCAGGTCGAGGTTGCTTTCCGCGCGAGTTCAGACGAGGCGCGCCTCCCACTCGCGCAACTCGGCATTCTCCGTCTCCAGACCCGCCCCCCCCTCGCGTTCCCTTTTTGTCAGGTCGAGTTTACGCTCCGCGCGAGTTCAGATGAGGCGCGCCTCCCACTGGCGCTTCTGCGATGGCGAAGACGGCGATGACGACGGCGACGACAACGGCGATGACGACGACGACGACGACGCTGGCGACGGCAGTGACGATGACGACAGTGACGAGGAGGAGGACGACGACAACGACGACGCCGATGATAATAACAACGACGACGACGACAACAGCGACGACGACGATGCAATGTTGGACGACGTTTCGGGCGAGACGCATACTTGTTGAGCGAATTGGTTGGACAAAAAAAAAAACATTGAGTCGTCTCGGGAATTCTCCTGAGAACGCCTCCAGTCTATGTCGCAACACTGTTTATTGCAGAATGGACGTCTTGCAGGATGTCGCAAACGGGGGGGCTCACTTTCTGAGAATACGACGTAGTCGCGAGCCCCTTGGACATCCCCGTTCGTCGAGGATGTCCCGGGCGAGAAGTCAGTGTTTGACGTAGGAAGTCGAACCGTAATCTTTCTGTATTGATTGTTTCGAGGATGTCTCAGGCAGAACGTCTATTTTTGGGAATGGGAGAATTTCGAGAGCCCGCAACCTCCCCGCTCGCATTCCCCGATGTCAGGTCGATTTTACTTTCGGCGCGAGTTCAGGCGGGGCGCGCCTCTCGCCACCGCATCTCGGCGTCTTCCGTCTCCAGACCCCATCTCCCCATCCGAAGTCTTTTTTCTGTCACGTCGGGTTCACGTTCCGCGCGGGTTCGGAAGAGGCGCGCCTCCCACTGCCGCACCTCGGCATTATCTGTCCCCCGATCTCACCGCTCGCGTTCCCCCGTGCCAGGTCGAGTTCGCGGCCCGCGCGAGTTCAGGCGAGGCGCGTCCCCCGCCGGCACATCTCGGCATCATCCGTTTCCAGACTCCCAACCTCCCCGCCGGCGTTCCCAAAGTCGACGTTGTTTTCTTTGCGAATTCAGAGGAAGCGCACCCCCCGCTGGAGCCCCCCCCCCCCCCTCGCGCACCCCATGCGCCAGCTCGAGTTTGCTTCCCGCGCCCCAAACGAAGCGCGCCCCCCGCCGGCACATCTCGGCACTATTCGCGCCCAGGCCGCCAACTTCCCAACTCGCGTTCCCCCGCGCCAGGTGGAGTTCACTTCCCGCGCGAGTTCGGACGAGGCGCACCCCCCGCTGGCGCATCACGGCGCCACCCGCCCCCATAACCCCAACATCTCCACTCGCGTTCCCACGTGTCAGGTCGAGTTCGCTATCCGCGCGAGATCATGCGAGGCGCGCCGCCCGCTGGCACATCTCGGCGTGCTCCGACTCCAGACCCGCGCTCCCCCTTCGCGATCCCCTGCGTCAGGTCGAGTTTCGCTTCCCGCGCGAGTTCAGATGAGGCGCGCCTCCCGCTGGCGCATCTACGACGACGACGGCGACGGCGATAAGGACAGCGACGACGACAACAACGACGACGACCATGCAAGGTTTGACGATGTCTTGACCGAAGCGCATGTTGTTGAGCGAACTGGTTGAAAAGCATTTGAATATATTATATGTACACAAATAAAGAATGCCTCCTGTGCCGTCTTGGGGATATTCCTGAGAACGCCCCCGATCTGTGTCGGAAGACAGCTTATTGCACATTGCATTTGTTTGGAGGATGTCTCACGCGGGAACGCCATTTTTTCAGAATGCGACGAATTCGCACGCTCCCTGGACATCACCGTTTTTCGAGGGTGTTCTGGGCGAGGGCTGCATTTTCAACATAGGAGGTCTAAGCGCCGCTCTTTTGGCATTTATTTGCTTCGAGGTTGTATCAGGCGGAACGCCCAGTTTTTGGGATCTGCGAATTTCGCGAGAGATGTCAATATCGCAATTGTTCAAGGATGTCTGCAGCGAGACCTTCAATGTTTACATAAAGCGCCCTAGAGTAGATCCTTCGAGATCTCCATTGTGCGAGGGTGTCTCAGGCGAACTGGCCATTTGGGGGAGTCTGCCAGGGTTCCGCCACGGAGCAATCCTGAGCCCTTCTTCTCCTGCGCCTCCCCAGTTGATTTTTTTCCCCCGGGCCGGAACCAACGTTCATCGCGCGACCTTTCGATTCTTAGCGCGTCTCCCGTCAAACCCCGAGCCCTTCCCCCCCAGACTCCCCCCAGTTGATGATAGTTCCCCCCGGGTCTACAGCAACGTCCATCACGCGATCCTTCGAGTCTGAGTGCGCTTCCCATCATCCGCTGGCCGGTCCCCCGTGCGATCCCGAACGGTATACTTCTTGGCGCGCACGCACCTAGAACGTCCAGCTCGCTTCTCGTTCCTCGAAGACGCTTCCCGTCATCCTCTAAGCCAGTCCCCCGTGCGGCGCGCCATGGTATAGTAAGAAAAATGCTTAGCTTCTCGTTACTCGAAGACGCTTCCCGTCATCCCCGCTTCGGACGAAGGCGGCAGACGGAACTCGCACGAAGATCAAGAGTCAGGGATTGCAAGCATGCTCCTCCAAAATCCTCGGCCTCGGCTTTGGGGCATCAAGTCGACACCTGGTTGTGGGCGCACTCCAATCATAGTCTCGATAGGGACCCCGCCGTATGGCGACGAAAACGTTATACGGAGTTTCGAAACGGCCCCAATACAAAGCGATTCAACTTTTGCGAATTCAGGTGCCGTTTAAGAAAGTCCAGGATGACTGGACCTTGGGCGTTTTCTTTGAGTTTTTCTTTTCGTCGAGTTTTCGTCGAGTTTTCGTAGATCTGGACCTGGACTACTGTTTAAGAGAATGCCTGGCTTGAAGTCCGTTTTGTTAGCGTAAAGTTTTCTTCGCTCTGAGCAGGGGTGTAGTTGATATCCTCGAACCTCGATTCTCGGAGGTTTCCAGAGGTTTCCGCGGTTTCTCTCACGAGAGCTCTGCGAAGGTCTCCAGAGGTCTCCCCGGAGCTCTTCGGAGACCTCCGCGTCAAGGACCCCAAAGAACCTCGATCCTCGCTCCTCGACCCGACTGCTAGGTGCTCATCTGGGGACCTTCCTGGAGATTGTTTTTCCTTCTGGGCCATAGCGCGCGTTATGCCCCCGCCCCCTCTCTCCCCCCGCTCACCCACCCCTCCCCGCCCGCCCCGTAACGTCCCGCTCCTCCCCGTCCAGTGGGCCCCCAGCACAGCTGCAGAGCGTCCGGAACCACAGTCTGTCACGGCGGGGGGCGCAGCGTTACGTTATGCGTCCCCCCCTCTCCCCCACATAACGCCAGTTATCGCCGCCAATTAATGAAAGTCTCCTGGTGCCCGCCTGGTTAACGGATCTGCTCGACTCCAGTTCGACTCCAGCTCGACTCAAGCTCGACTCTGCGTCGACTCGATGCCGACTCAATTCGACGGACGTTCGACGCAGCATCGGCACATGGTGGAGCGATCCATGGACACAGCTCCTCTCTCCCCACGTTGGGAAGTGGGACGATATGGGAAGCGGAGATCCGCAGCATCGGCGCATGGCTTCAGGGAAGTCCCCAGAGCGAGCACCAAATGGGAGGCCCAAGCGACCGCGGCGCGCGCGCTCCCTGGCCGGCCAGGGGCCGAGCCTGGCACTCTGCGGCGACGCGCGCGGTCCGAGCCCCGCGGGTCGCCGCTGTCGCAGCCGCCGCCGCCTCGAGGATCGAGCTGCTACACTGCAGTGCGATCGGAATGGGTACGGACAGATCGGGAACGAAGACCAGTAGCGGTTCCTGCCCATTTCGAGCCGGTCTCGCTATCGGCGTCTCCGCGGACGTCCATTCGAGACAAAAGGTCGTCTGCCCAACAGCGGCCGCTGTCGGTTTGGGACACCATGTGCTGTTGGGCAGCGTACCCATTTTTGTCCGTTCCCATGTCGGGCGTCCAAGACGGTCAAGACAGAATTGGCTCTGGTTTTCTGACCGTGGTCGGGGACCTATCCGTGGCCGGGATTCTCCGTGGCCAGAGATCCTTTCGTTCCTCCTGCAGCGTTCCTTGTGGCAGCACGGCGACTGCAGGATGTTTGAAGACGTTCCGTGCTTTTTGGCATTCCTTCTGCAGCGTTCTGTGTGCTAGGACGGCGACTGTAGGGTGTGTGGAGAGTCTTTGGGCTTTCGGGATCTCCCGAGGGCTCCAAGGGGCCTCAGGAGCAGGAGGCCTACGGAGCCTCCGCATGGCGTCGGCCGTCATCGCCACCGCCGCCGTCGCCACTGTTGCCGTCCCCGCCGCCGCCGTCGTCGTCGCCGTCCGCCTCCCTCGTCGTCGTTGCCGCCGTCGTCGTCGTCGTCGTCGTCGCGTCGCCCTCGTCGTCGTCGTCCGCCTCGTCGTCGTCGTCCTCCTCCTCCTCGCCCTCGCCCTCAACGTCACCGTCGCCGCCGGCGTCGCTCGTCGTCAGGGCCGCCGTCGTGGCTGGGGCGCACGCCGAGCGCGCGGGCGCTGGGCTCGCCGGCGGCGGCCGCGGCAGGACCTGCCCGCGCGGGTGCGGCCGCACCGCCGCGCCGGCCATGGGCGTCGCGCGCCAGAGGGTCCGCAGGCGCTGGGCGGTCGGACAGCGGGCGGCGGCTGCGGCGGCGGCGGCTGCGGCGGCAGGATCAGATTCGAGATTCTGCCCAGAACGCACCCCTGGAAACGCCCGGTGCCCCAGGATGGTGCATAGATCCTCCCGAGGGCGTGCACTAGGCACACCACATGAAGAACTGGTATGCGTGCGGGTGCTCCACGAGAATTTACATCCCGATTGGCCGCACAGCTGGGGGGCATCTGACCAGACTTGCGCAGGAGCGACGAAGGATGTGCCCTGAAATTCTATAGGCTTACGCCACATGCGCCGACCCCTAGATCTTAATGTATGTATGCGTTCGGGGCGGGGATGGAGCGGGCGACGAGGAAGAGGGGAAAAGGAGTCGGACCATGTATTGCGCGAAGTGTACGCGTGTGAAAGCCACGAAGAACTCGCGCAGTGACAATCCGTTGCCATTTTGGCTCAAGCCCTGGACCCCGGCTTTTTGCTCTTGGCCTGCCGGCGCGGCGCGTGGTCCTTACTCAGCTGGCATTTGTCCTTGCCTGCCGGCGCGAGCCTCGGGATGGAGAGCCACCCCAACGTGCCAGGCGTGCCCGGCCACCAGCCCGAGCACGCCGCAGGAGCTGCCGCGTCGGCGAGCTCCCCCTCGGTCAGCGGCCCGGCCTCCGCGAGCTCCGCGGGCCCCCCCGCGGGGGCCGAGCGCCCGCCGGCAAAGGCCCCGCCGGCCCCAGGCGCAAAGCGCTGGCTGGCCGAGCGGCTGGAAGGCGAAGTCTCCACCCTCCTGAACCTGCTCACCCGGGTTCTCGGGGCCTTCGGGTTGGCTCAGTGGGTCAAGGCGAACCGAGGAGGCGAAAGCACGCCCATTGCGGCGGACGTCGGCAGCTACGATGGCCATGACATCTTCAATGACATGGGTACCTATGCTTTTGACCCCCTCTCGGGAGGCGGTTAAGCAGGTTTTGGAAAGCAGGGGTCTGCTGTCACGCGGTCGCGTCGACAGCAGCGGTGCCCTGCTCTCTCTTCCTCGGCGCAGCGAGCGATGATCGAGCTAATCGGGGTGATTGCTGGTTCGTCACGTACTGCTGGGCCGACTCGAGCGACGTGGAGACCCACACGTCGTCAGCAGGGCAGGCAACCGAGGAACGGGTCGAGAGCTCTTCAATTTTTGGCTACTACACCGAATACTCCCTCGCTCCTGGACGCCGTGAAGGCCATGATCAGCAAGGCGGACGAGGCTCAGTACAATCCTACTCATGAAAATGTTGTGGAGTCCCTTCGAGAGTTGTTGGAGGCCTGCGACGATACCACATGTTCAGGGAGGCCCAGCCGTACGCCCCAGGCCGGCGCAGCCCAAGACATGAAAGCGGAGGACAATGCTGGAGGAGCTGCGTTACCACCCGCAGGTTGCCGAGATCGAAGCTTGTGGACCCTTGCATGGCAAGGCGCGCCAGTTTACCTAGCTGCGAGCATCGCAGAACGGACCATCTAGAAACCGATTACCGATTGTCTTGGTGCGCCAAAAAACATGAATATCGGCGGGCTCGTGAATGGCGACGGGCTGCTGGATCTAAGCTACCAATTACCTTCGCGATGTTCTCTACCATCAGTGGAAGTTCTGAATGGGCGGAGGAGCCAACAGCGGAATGGACTGGCTGGACCTCGAGGGCCCCGGCAGGTTGGCGCGTGGCTGCTGCGTGACGGCACCGACGCCCCAGCACGCCCCCCTCCCGAAGGCTGTCAAGGATGACGTGAGCAGTTCGACCAAGCCCGAGACGTCCACTTCACGCCTGACGATATCTCAGAAGTTCGCTTCAAAATGCTTGTTTGGGCGGGCTCAACAAGACCCCGTCACGTTGCCAGCATTCTCGCTTCTTGAGCCGGAGTGCTAAACACTTATTAAATTTAAGGGGGCGCTGGGTTACAACGCGGAGATCCTTCGCGTACTGGTGGCCAAAGTTGTGGACCGCAATGCCTTCCCCAGCGCGCAGTCCGGGAGTTTTCCTGGCGCAGCAGAACTCAAAGTTGAGACCTCGTTTCTTCGAGATTAGCGAGTTGGCATCATATTCCGAACATTTCACGCGAGCGAAGAACATTGTAGACACGGCCGCGCGTGGCCGAATGATATTTCGACCCAGCGCTATTGCTCCACGTGGGGCCATTGCGCAGAAGCTCGAACCTACTACTGGTACGGATGCCACTGCGATAGCACCCCAGTGGGCGATGTCCAAAGCCCCAGAAAGTTGGGTTCATGAAGACGAGGTTCGTGAATGGCGTGCTCAACGCGGCTTCACCAGTGCATCGTCGGTTGCACGCTTCAACCGTCGCAAGTGGGTTTTCGGAGGAGTGGTGGAGGGCTCGACCGAGCAGGCCGCCTGCGATTTCAGCGGCGGCGTCTGCGCGGCTGCGAGTGGCCGGGGAGATCGCGACAAGCCGAAGAAGCGAGGTGATGGCAAGGGTGGGGATGATGGCCCACGACCTCGCTCCGCCTGGGGGGCCCCGCCCCCGAAGAACGCGTCGGCGGCGGACGCGGAGGGCGAGGGGGGCGCGGACCGCCCTGGCGCTGCCGCCGCCGCCCCCGCCCCAGCAGCCGGGGATGGCGCCGCCGCTGGCGTGCCGCCCCCGGCAGCCGCTCCAGGTCGTGGAGCTCGCCGGGCAGCTCCCGACGGCGGCGGCCAGGCAGCGGCGAAGCAGCAGGAGGTCGACGCCCCCCCCTCCACCGACTTCCTCTCAGCGCAGGAGAACACGAGGAGGGCGATTGTTGTTGTACATCAGCGCGGGCTCGGCGCACCATGTCGCGAAGCCCGGCGCCGCGCAGCCCGCGGCGGCTGACCGCGCTCGGAAATGTTCAAGATAGCATTCGCCAGATGGTCTTTGCACACGCATCAAAGAACTACAGGAAGTTTCGTCTCAAAGCGGTGCCCCACGCTACGATGCGAGAAGTTATCGCTGCAGCTGGGAACTCTCCCACCTCGACGCGCGCCAGGCCTGCGCACTGGCCACAAAGGCCCGCATCATCACGCGGGCCAGTCGCGGACGGCCACTGGAGCCTCCACGAGCCATCGCAGGCCGACCAGAAGATCATGGAGATAACGATTTGGCTAACCCTCAAGAGCAGACACTACGAGCGCCTCGTCTCGAAGAGACCGCTGGGCCAGTCCATGGAGCAGCAGTGGATGGACCAGCGTTCACCCTGCGCTGCGGACTCCACTGGCGGCGGTACGTCGTCATGCGTGAGATCGCAAGCTACCCGAACGCCAACTTGAAGAAGGCGAAGGACTTCCTCGGCATCTCTCCAGGTATTTCAAAACATACCATGGGGAAAGCATGTTATTGCTTGGGCTTATCAGCGCCGCCCTGACTGTGGATGGAGGCCTACTACCGCCACAGCGGGGGAGCGCCACCGCGAGGCACTCCGTCACTGGACGGCCTGCCGAGGAGCGACGGAGCAACCGAAGTGCACCGCGGCGCAACGGCAGACGGGCGCCCTGAACCACCCAGGGGTTCCCCGTCCTGCAAGCCGCGCTGAGCAGAAGAGACTTTACGAGAAGTGGCTCACCGCGCGGCCAACTAAGCTCCGCGGAGGTTTCTGCCAGCTCGGTTTTGACGACCCGAAAGGCCCGCCGCCTGAACGGTTCAGATGTAGGAGTTGCCAAGTCTATAAGCTGTGGCACGACGCAGCTGGGCATTCGCCCTGCAACCAGCGCGCCATCATGGCCACCGAGGACCAGCTCCTGATCGCGGCGATGGGCCAGCAGCGCGGTCAGATGTGGATCGACAAGTTCAAGAGGTGGAACGCTGTCGCAGGCCAGCGCAAGCGCAACGAGACGGGAGTGAAGCGGGAGCGGAGGCTGGCCAAGAACCGTGCCGCGATCTCTGCAGCCTGGCACGCGGGGTGCATCGCCCCGTGCCGCGAGGCCCGCCCCGACCGCTGCAGGCGAGCTCAGGCCCGCTACCAAGTCAAGCTGAAGACGCGGCGCCAGCAGAATCCTGAGGCAGCCAAGGAGACGCGCAAGCAGCAGCGGGGGCGAAAGAAGATGACCGCCGGAGCTGGAGAGAAAAAGTTTCAGGAGATCCAAGCCCGGGTAGCCGTGTCCAGACTATCAGCGGTTTCGGGGGCCCCTGATTCACCCTTGGGTGGAGGCGACGCTCTGTCGGATGCATCGGCGTCGCGCGCCTCGCCAGGGCTCGCGCTGAAGCAGTTCTCCGCCAGGCTGATGATCTTCAATTAGATTTCACGGCATGGCAAGAAGTTCGATTGGCCAACGCTCGTCCGCCATGGCTGAGTCAGCCAGCAGGCAGTTTCGGTTGCTCCATTGCCCTCGCAGCCCCGCCTCCAGCAGATCGATTCGGCCACGGGGGCGCGATCCATGGAGGTGCGGCAGTGCTCTGGCGCAAGAGCATTGGGAAAGCCAAAGTACTTCGAGACAAATGTTTAGATCGTCGTGGCGCGGCCGTCAAGACCTCCATTGCCACCGCGGTCTCGGCCTACGGCGCGCAGCGTGGCGACAGCGTTTGGTCGTCAAAAGTTTTGGACTGGAGCCGGTCTCTCGGCGGCGACGCATTGCTCATCGGCGACCTGAACTGGTGCGCCAGATGCCGTGGGCTCCTCTCACCAGCGTAGCACTTGGCGGCAGCGGGCCCCCCGACTACGACCGAGGGGACATCGCTGCCGCGAGCCCTCCGCAGGACAGCCGGCCGTGGAGAGCCCCTAAGTTTGGATGCTGTAAATCTTACCAATGGAATCCCTCGCCATAAATTGCGGAAGTTTGCGGCGCCCACGCGGCAGCGCGCCCGTTTGAAACGCAGTGTAGGTGCCGTTCCTGATCGAATGGCCTTCGCGAGCCAGCGCGAGATCAACGACGTCAAAGCAGCTCTAGACGCATCGCACCCAGCAGCAGCTCCATCGGCACCCGTCGACGAGCAATGGCAGACGCGATGCGCGCGTGCAGTAGCAGGGCTCCAGCTGGCGGCGACCATGCACTGGGTCCGAGTTGAACGCAAGGCGGAGCGGCCAA